CCACTTTAAAAGATTTATTTGTTGGATTTGAGGTACCCTCCCAACCACAAGACACTCTGGTGAGTCTCACCATTGCAGGGATCTTGTTGGGTTGTTCTTGATCTATGGATACAAGTACAACAACAACAAAAAATAGTTCATTATTACAGGAAATCATTATTACTAGATTTTCCATTGATAAATGGCCTCTTTTTGGATCCAAATGAAACCCAGGCCATAACTTAACCTTTATTTTAGTGAATAAAGTTGCTCAAGAAGAGTTAACTAAAGAAGGTTGCAAATCCACAAACAGTATTCTTTGTATTGTAAGTCCATATTTATTAGCAGCTGTGGGATGGATTCATCTGGCTAACTCCCCAAGCAAGGAGACTGACTCAGGTTCTTCACCTTTGCTGGGAATAATATAACCACACATACATGAGTAACTCAGCCCTCACCAGACCTATGAGATGGCTTCTAGTATCCAAATGTGCATTACTTGTAACTGTATGAGCCACTGATATACCACTGACTGGCTATGATGCTCAGGTATCTATTGCATTGCCCCTAATGATGCCTTTGGACTATGTGGAACCAATCTTTGATCCTAGCTTCCTCCAGGTTGTATTGGCAGATGCACTTTGGGGCTGAGCTGGACTCAGCATGTATTTTAATTGAACTCCCTTTACCAGATACTGCTTAGTATTAAGAGCCTGGTAGTCTCAATAAATGTTTCAGGGGTATGATCATCTAGTAGTAGTATTCACCTCTCAGGTAGGACTTGAAGTTGTTATGGCACATGTAGAAGTATCAACTAAGTATGTGCTAACTTCCCTAAATTACAGTGCTCATGGACTTCAAGAGATCAATACCAAAATAGCTATTATGACATAAATACTGAGAAAAACAAACCCTTGCCACTGAGTCAATTTTAATTCATAACAATTCCCATCGGGTTTTGAAGGCTGTAAATCTTTACAGAGTAGATTGCTTCAACTTACTTCTGTGGAGCAGCTGGTGAGTTTTAACTGCCAACCTTCTGAGTAGCAACTGAATGCCTTACCCATTATGCCACCAGAGCTCATTGATGAGATAAGTAGTACTCCAAAATAGAATGGTCTTTGATACCCTCACTGCAACTCAGGGGGTGCCATAGTAAAATCTGACTGCTGTGTCTATATTCCTCATAACCATGCTAACATTACACTGTTAATTATATGTAACATATAGTATCTTGCCATAATGATCCTGTCCCTTCCTTAAATGAAATTACAAATAACTGGTTCTCTTTTGGAATGATAGTGGAAAAGATTGCTATTTTGGAATCCTCATTGTTTCTATTATTATAATTGTAAAATGCTGTTTTGCTTTAGTTCCATGTATTTTGTATATGAAATGCTGTGTTTCAGAACCATTTGCTCCTTATACAGAACTATGGAAGTTTGTTCTCAGAATATGCCCAATCAAACCAGCTGGAGTCTCTCACTTAGGCTCTGATTCCTTCCTGGCCAAATAAATGACCTTTATATTTCAAAGATCTTTAATTTGAAGTTGATCCGATTTACAATCAATTATTAACCCCCATACTCAACTCCCCTTTTCTTAATACTTTTAGTTGGCTATCTACTGAAATTGGCTCTTGACTACATTCAATTCTACAAACTTGATTAATTGTCTTAATCACTATAATAATTATTATAGGACTAATCAAATATTTATGAAATGTTTTTTAAATGCTTGTACTCACAATGCAGCACTACTTGTTATACAAAAGATCATCTATTTTGAAGAAAAAAAATTCCTTAGAGAATAGGTCAACTCTTTACTTTGGCCAATGTCCCTTTCTGCCAAGTATTCCTACTAATTTGGCCCTATTCTCAAATACCCCTTCTTTTTCAAAAAAAAATTATTGTGATTTGGGTGAAAATTTACAGAGCAGATTCATTTTCCATACAGCAGTTCACATACACTTTGTCTCATGACATTGACTGTAATTTCTCACAATGCAACAGCTCTCCTCCTACTTCCTCCCCAGAGCCACCTCTTCCTTGTGTCCTTCCCTCCTGTGCACTCCTGCCCCTGAGCTGTCTCCCGGTACATACACAGCCCTTCTCTTCTCTCATGATTAATCTCTCCAAGGAGTATATCTACCTAACGTAAATGTTCAGCTCATATGCCTGTCTTTTGTTTTGCTGGAGGCCACAGGATTGAGTTCAATTCCAGATAATGTTTACAAGGGCAGCTAGGGGCTCAGTGGTTTCATCAGGCTCTACCAGACCTTTTTTTTAAAATTTTTTTATGATTTTGAGTTTTGTTCCACATTGTTCTCCCACTCTATCCAGAATCTTCTACATACATCCCCCTCTGAGTAGATGACAGTGGTAGCCATACATAACCCTTCTTAAAAAAAAAAAAAAAAATCACAAAAGCAGAGGTCCAAGCTGTGGCATGATGAAGATTTTGGTGATGGTGCTTAGCTATCTGCATGAAAGTGAATGGAGTCTTAAGCCTTATCACGGTAAGTAGCCGCCAATGTACATGTAGTGCCTGATTACCTTTCTTAGGGAGTGCTCTGGTCATAATAGCCTATTTAGAATAGACAGCCATCTAATAAACACACCTTCTGTAAGTATTGAAAAAGTTCTTGCAGAAGACAAGTTACTCCTTTGTAGACAACATAAAACCCGCTTGTCTTGAAGATGAGACACGGTGAAGAAATGTCACTTTGAAGACTAAGGTATGGCTCATCCAAGCCATGGTATTTTCAATAGCTTCATATGAAAGCTGGAAAATGAATGAGGAAGACCAAAGAACTGATGCATTTGTATTGTGGTATTGGTGAAAAATACTGAAAATACCATGGACTGCCAGAAGAATGAACACCTGTCTTGGAAAAGGTACAGGCAGAGTGTTTCCTAGGGGTGAGAATGGCCAGACTTTACCTCATGTGCTTTTATCATGTTGTCAGAAGGGACCAATCCCTGGAGAAAGATGTCATGCTTGGTAAGGTAGAGGGTCAATGAAAAAGTGAAAGACCCTAAGCAAGATGGATTGACACAGTGGCTACAATAATGGGCTCAAGAATAGCAACAATTATGAGGGTGGGACAGGACCCAGTAATGTTTAGTTCTATTGCTATGAGTTGGAACTGACTCAATGGCACCTAAGAACAACAAAATTGTTAAATGATTTAAACTTTTAAATTAGAAAAATAATGTTTAAGGTATCTCGCCATTGTCTTGTGTCTGCTAAAACATGATTTTTGTAATTGTCAACCAATCAGAACTTTTTCCTTGTAAGTTTCTGGATTTTCCGTGTATTAAGCACTGTGAAAAATCACTTTCACTGTAATACTTTGGTGAATCCTCATGAAGTTCTGTACAAATTGTGATTGCTTTGTTCCTTCAACAAATTCTTTGCTCTAATTTTAACAGAAGCTAGCCTGCTTTTTGACATTTATGAAGTAATAAGCAAGACAACTTTGTTGACAAATTTAAAAGTGACATTGAATATAACAATGTAGACTGGAATTTAGCTTCATGTTAAATCTTACATTAGGGAAAACTTCATGTTAGTAATTTTTATAGCTGGCAACTTAAAAATAATATGTGTTATTACTATTTTTTAAAATTTCCTTGATACTGAAATACTGTCAAATTAAAGTCAAAATTCTAGACTTTTATTTGCAGAGCACTTAAATAAAACTTACAAAAATAACACATTAAGGTGTCTTTAAAAAATCAAACTGGATATAATTGTTGTTCAATTTCTCCATTTTTTTTTTTTTTTTTTTTTTTTTTAGTTCTTACAACAACATATGCCATAAGGATTTTAAACAGATCTGGTGAGGTTCATTTGGTGACAAAATTGCAGATCTGCTATCTAACGTCTGTTTTTTAAGCATCCTGTCTTTACAAGTAGTGAGATGTCAAACTAAAAAACCATTTAGAACACTATTCAATATAATAAAACAAAACATTATACTGCCAAGGGACCAGCGCTATCACCTGAGCCTGGAAATTGTTCCAAAGTTGTGCTATAAGGGTGAACATGAGCTCCCAAAATTATTTAATCGTTTAAAAATAAAAGATTTATTTTATTTTGAAATATTAGGTGAAAAACAAAATGTGAATCCCGGGAATCACTTCCCTAACACCTAGGGTTTGAAGGCCTTCCTGTCTCTAAAAGCGGACCCCATCCTTTTACCAGGCATGACCTCTCAAGCGGCCGATTTCCAGGAGGCTGTTTTTTTTTTTTTTTCTAATTGTGCTTTAGGTGCAAGTTTACAGAGCACAGTTCGTTTTATGTGAAACGTTACGTGGGTTTTTAGTTTGTAAACGAACACTCGGCGTTCTGAATTAGTTGCAAAGGGAGGTAAGAGACCAGCTTGTGCCATTCATTACTAAGCACTAGGAGTGACTCAGACGGGAAGCGGGGAGTGAGGGTGGGGGGAGTGAGGGGTGGGCAGCGGGCATGACAGTAAGATCTACGTTCTCCTAAGATCCAGAACAAGGGCCAGTCCAGCATGATCCCGAACTAGAGTGGGCCGAGGCCCAAGGCCCAAGAAGGGACACCCTCAAGCACTGTTCACTTAGTGTGCGATACGTATGTACTATTCCACTCGCGAGGTTTGAGGATTTGAATTCATAATAGGTCTTTTGTTGTTGTTGTTGTTATTTGCCCTCCAGTCAGCCCAGACTCATAGCGACCCCTCCTTGGGTTTCCGAGGCAGTATCACTACTGAAGTAGGATTGCCCAACCTTCCTTCCGAGGAGTGGCTAGTGGGTTTCAAACGTCAGCCTTCTGGTTAGCAGTCAAGTGCCTTAGCCACTATGCTACCAGAGCTCCTCTAATAGGTCTAGGCTGAACTAAGTGCGCATGAGCTGTGTAAAAAAAAGCAGAGGCAGCCCCCAGCACAGCGGAACCAAGTTGCTACGTCGCCGCATTTCCGGCCGAAGGGAAAACGTGGACTTGAGTCGGTCCGCCTCCAATAGACACTTGGAGCTCACCCCAGTCTTACTATGAAGTTTCGGGCGAAGATCGTGGACGCGGCCTGTCTGAACCACTTCACGCGTGAGCGGGGGCCACGCCATGGCCCAGCACCGGTTTGGGAGGAGATAGAAACCGGAAGGACGGAAGGGAGAGGAGGGATCATGTGGGATGTAGAGCGGCACGGAAGCTATACATGCGAGCTGAGCGGGCACCTGAGGGAGGACGGGGGCGGGCGCGGAGATGGAAACGCGCTGTTATTGTATATAACACAATATATTTATATATTGTATACAACACAACTCCCCTCTTATTGTGGAAATAAGAGAGGCTGCCAACGGATGTTTCTAAAACTTGATCTCATCTCATGTCTTTTTAAGCCTATTACTGGTTCTAATTTCCTTATTTGACATTGAAATTCCTTCCAAGTCAGGCCCCATCTAGCCATTGGTCCTTCCACCCTAATGTTTGTCCTTGCATTGGACCCTGTATTTCAGTACTTAGTGGACAGTAAGATGTATTGAATGGATGAATATAGCCTCTTGTTGTTGTTGTTGTTATGTGCCCTGGGGTCGGAATGGACACATAGCGATCCCTCCTTCAGTTCCTGAGGCAGTATCACTACAGACAGAAATAGATTGCCCAACCTTCTTTCCGAGGAGGAGTGGCTGGTGGGTTTGAACCGCCAGCCTTCTGGTTAGCAGTCAAGTGCCTTAGGCACTGTGCTGTCAGAGCTCTGAGCCTCAATTTTCTTTATTCAGATACTGAAGATCCGTACTACGTACCTCACAGGGTTGTAATATTGGCATGACATGTGGTAATAAAGTACCTTCCAGTGTGATACAAACGAAACCTAGCCAAGGTCGCTGCCATCGAGCTGATTCCAACTCATAGAGACCCCCTTTGGGTTTCTGAGGCAGTAAATATTTATGAAAGTAGATTGTCCAGTTTTCTGCAGAGTAGCTGGTGGGTTTGAACTGCCATCCTTCTAGTTAGCAGTCAAATGCCTAAGGCACTATGCCTAGTGTCATACAATCATACAAATAAAAACTTTTTTTTTTTTTTTCCCACCGGCATGTTGCAACATGGTGAAGGGGAAATTCTACAGGATATATTGGCCTCTAATATACATGATGTAAGTTATAGTGATAAGTTACTCTAAACCCCTGCTATAGGAATCAGTAACATGATGGCCAAACTTGCCAAAACCTGCACTCTCCGCATCAACCCGGATAAGCTGAACTTCATCCTTTCAGATAAGGTGGCCAACGGAGGGGTGAACATGTGGTGTGAACTGGAACAGGTGAGCAGAAGCTCCTGAGAGGCCTCCAAACTTAGCCTGAATTCTATTGGAAAGGTTACACATGCCCCCCTTTTTCTCCCCTTAGGAGAACTTCTTCAGTGAATTTCAAATGGAGGGTGTCTCAGCAGAAAACAATGAGATTTATGTAGAGCTGACATCGGAAAACTTATCTCGAGCCTTGAAAACTGCCCAGAATGCCAGAGCCTTGAAAATGAAGCTAACTAATAAGCACTTCCCCTGCCTTACAGTCTCTGTTGAACTGGTGAGTGGGAGGAAGGACATCTGAGACTTCTCAGTAATGCAATCATTATAAATAAGCCTAGGCTTTTTAACAGTAGGTCCCTCGGTGGCACCAACAGTTTTCACTTGGCTTCTAAGCAAAAGATTGGCAATTTGAACTCACCCAGCAGCACTGTGGAAGAAAGATCTAGCAATCTGCTTCCATAAGGATTATAGCCAAGAAAACTCTATGGGGCAGTTCTGCTTTGGACTGGATGAAGCCACACTGGGTCAGAATTGACTTAACAGCACCAAATTTGTTTTTGTTTTGTTTTGTTTTGATAAAACTTGTTACTCTTGAAAGCTAATTTGTTTTGTTTAAAATTAAATGCCAGTTTTTAAACTGGAGGGTTTTTTTTCCCCTCATTTAACAATAGAGTTGTGATTACATAATACTCAACTAGAATGTTACTTTTTCTTATGCAGTAAACCATCTGTATTTTTCTACTCAGATCTATATATCTTAGCCTCTGTGGTTCTTTTAGTGGTTTTGTCATCTTTGTTGTTGTTGTTACGTGCCATGGAGTCAGACCTGACTCATAGTGAGCCTTCCTTGGGTTTCCAAGGCGGTATCACTACAGAAGTAGATTGCCCAGTCTTCCTTCTGAGGAGTGGCTGGTGGGTTTGAACCACCAGCCTTCTGGTTAGCAGTCAAGTGCCTTA